CAGTATTCGAGAGACGTCAAAGTGGTTGTTCATGGTTTTTATGACCAACAGAAAGATTTTGTTTAGGATTCCCTGACCTTTTCACTATTCCAAAAACCAAGAATTTTCCTTTTTGGGCCCTTGGTTGAAGTACCTCTGCCCTTCTTGCTGACAGACATTAGTTTTACACCTTCTTACACCAGAGCCTCTAACCTCTACAGGTACTATTGTAAAGCTGTTGATATACGCCTGCAAAGTCTTCTTCTTGTCCTGGGTGATCCTACTGAGTGTGGCTATTGTAGTAGATTGCCTCTTCTGAGCGGTGAAATTCTCACACAAGTAGGTCCATGAATCTATGCTACCGTCATGCAAATATTTGAACCAAATCATAGTCGATCCGGTAAGAGTTAGTGCAAAGAGCTTGCACTTTGCAGGGTCATCAACATGATAGTAGTCTAAACGCTTGTCCACATGTTGCACATGCTCATCCAAATCTTCCTTTTCGTCGTAACTTTGGAGCTTTAGAGACTTCTTCATCGATTTCAATATTCACTATCCATAATACAAGAAGAAATAAGATTCTTCTTCCGTTCCTCGCCCAAATTTCGTTCATCAAGTTCTTCCTCCTTCTCAAAGCGTCGGACCTCGGAGGAGTGTGACTTCCACTTCCTCCTTCAGAACTAGGAGAAAGAGTTTGGTGTTTCTAACTTCTTGGTGACTCAATATTTCAAAGCAGCTTCCCGATGAGATATTGTTGATTGGTTTCTCCAGGACATGGCCTTTTACACTATGTTTCTCTTCAGGTTCCCGTGGATCAAGCTTTCATTAAGGCGAAGTAATATTTCTTCTACAACTTGTGAATTTTGTTCTCAAACCATATTGTAAACATTTTTTATTTGTTCATTAGAACTTTGCACGCGAGGTTGGCTTGCAACAATCGGAAATCAAGTAATGTTTTTGGTCTAAGTATTATCATTGGTGTTGGAGGCCTGAGTGGTGGTTCACCTTGTTGTAATTGCAAAAGAAATCCTAAGAATATTAGAGGTTGAAAGACTCCTTGAGATATTCTAGGCTAGGCAAAATCTTGATGTGACGGTGCAGATGGAGAATTCGAATTCACGAGGACTTGAATGCTACCATTTTGAGGAACATGTGGTAGATTTACGGAAGCTCGAGCATCTCTGACTGTCTTGTGCTATGCAACGGAGCGAGTAGCTAAGGAACCTGTCATTGTTAATGTATTTTGACCGAGATATAAGAAGTGATGTTAATCTTTTATTGGAGGGGATCGAGAATAAAGTTCTACAATTCATATTCAGGATATCTGAATTTTTAGGTCAAGGAAGCTCCAATTTAGTGAATTGAGATATGCATGTTCGAATGTGAAAAATGCGAGAATCAAATTTCGATTCCCACGTACGACGTTGTTGTTCTGCGCAGGAACATAATTGATCGTTGAACGGTGGATGTGTATCACATTGGTGGACTCAAGCTTCTGGTATGGTGGATGAGAGGCTGACCTGCAAGATTAACACTTCATCACTCAAGCCAGTATGAGAGTAAGATGAACTAAATGAGATTTGAATTAAAATTACCTGAGAAATAACATGTTCTCCCTTTTATATAATAGGGCGATTATAATAATTTGTTGATCTATCAATGTGAGATGTAAATATTTGTTCAATTGATCTTGGAATGAGATAATAGCTTTCTTGTCTAAAGTAGTGCATTGGCTCCGCATACGGTGTGGTGGGTCATTTTACTCTCTCGATCATAATTATCAGACCGTCTTAACGATCAGACGAACATTATGTTTTATCTTATTAAATAAAATTATATTAAGTTAAGATTTTTTTTAATTATTAAGATAAAATCATATTAAGTTAAGATTTTTTTTAATAATTTAATAATTGATATTTTTTTAATAATTTAATAATTAAAATGTAACATCTTAATTGGACATATATTGTATCACATTTCTTTTTATTTTAATAACTTGCTTTATTATTTTGGAAGCCTTATAACATTTTATATACATAATAAAATAAACATATAAAATGAAAATTAGTTATTTAGTTCTAAATAAATATAAAAACTCTTTATGGATTATTTCAAAAAAAAAAATGAACTTTTAATAGTTTATCATTTTATCTTTCAAAAACCTCATTAAAAGAAATATTTTAAGAAAAAAATTATTTTAATTTTAGAACCTTTTTTAAAATTTTATAAATAAAAAATATATGATAAAAAATGACTACCACATCGATTTAAAAAATATATTGAAACTGTTTGAATTTAAAATAAAAAATTAATTTTACAAATTAGATAAAATAAAGAATCAAAACTACATGAACTTAACTGGTATACGTTTTAGTGTAAACTAGATAAAATGTATACCATCAAAAAAACATAATTATTTAAATGTATTGTTTGAAAAAATAGTTAAAATAAAATCAAACATTTTAAATAAATTAATACTTATAATTAATTGAAAGTGTAACATAACCTTAATTCGTCAAGATATTTCAATTAAATTTAAACTATAATTTAGTCTTAATTTTATTTACTTCTACTTTATTTCATATCATTTCCTATTAAAATTTAGAAAAAGTAATTACTATTGAAAATTCAATATTACCCATATTTTTCGCCTTACAAATATGAAAATTATGGATGAAATTGTAAATCAACTCATACAGTATTAAACAATTAAATATTTAAAATAATAAGTAGTCTCACATCACTAAAATTTAAAAACTCTTTTACTTTTTTTAGTAAGTTTAATAAAAATATTATACATAGCACAAAAATATATTATTAAATAATTATTTAAAATTATATTTTTTAAATATTGTTGATATTAAAATAAAATATATTAATGATAAATGTTTTACATTTTTAATTTTAGAAAACGAGCCATTCAAAAATCATCGTTGAGACATGCAAATTTTAAAGGGACAATAATTTTTCATTAATTCAATTTAGTTTGTTTATATCTATTAATTACAAATAAACAAAAAATTTATATACTAATTCTAGTTTATTATAAATATAATATATGTAACATAAATATAAAACAAAAATTATTAAAAATGTGAGATATTGGATCGAAATATATTCGCTAGTAATGCGTGTTGTAGTCGAAGTTTGTTCTAATATTGTTAAAAAGACCGTTAGGTTATTTTGCTAATTTTCTTATAAATAGCATGCTAGTCTCTCATCTTGGATAAGGAAAACTAGAAAGATAAAATCATAATTTAAGAGAGAGGTTATTTTGTTATTCTTGTATACTTGCAATCTTGTTTGCTTTTTATTCTTCTTACTTGTTTTCTTTGTTAATTATAATTATTGTTTGTTTCTTGAATATAAAGAAATCATTTATATTTTGTTTCAAGGCATTCTATTCATAACAAAATATTTTTAAAATATTAATTATAATTTTTATATGTATCAAAAATATAAAACAAAATTTATTAAAAATTAATATAAAAAATTATCAGCATCAATATATAAAAATAAATAATTATAATGCATCAATTTTATTTTTTTGTTCACTTCATTGTTTTCATGTTGTTATTTTTTTTAATTATTAAAGAGCACCTTTGAGGCGTAGTACAATTCATATGAATACAACATATTGTTATTAATCAAATTAAATTTATTTTAATATATAAATCCTACAAGAAAATAATCTATATCACTGAAAAAGTTACATAAAAACTCAAGGAAATTTGGATGAAAAGATAAAAGGTTCTTTTGGCTAAATTACTGTTTTAATTCTTAAATTTTATTTGATTCACGAAATTAATTTCCTTATTTTAAATTTAAATAATCTTTATTTTTATTTTATTTTTTTACATAAAAAATCGGTGAGATTTTTATTTTTTAACTTATATTTTTATTTATAAATTTCACAACAAACTTCTATTTATCACGTTTCACAATAAATTTGTTAATTTAAAAAATAAAAATACTATTAATTTTGAATATAAAATTATGAGAGGAGGCCAAAATTGTATAAATTTAAAATAGATGAACAAATTTCGTAAATTTAATAAAATAAAATTAAAAAAACAATCATAATAAAACAAAAAACTTTTGAGGAGAAATTGTGTTGAGAGAGAGATGTCAATTATATATATATTTTTTTTGCATTTCGATATTTTTTTAAATTTAAAGAATATCGTTACTCTTACGTAAAACAATAATTTATTATTAGTTTTATGTCAATTATAGTTCTATTGCAATATATTAAATATAGTTGATTATAAACATTTTATAGTAATCATAGTTTATTATAAAATATATATGAGACAAATGTACGTTATTGAGAAATTAATTAAAATTAGAGTTTTAATATGTTCAACATACAAAAAGAAAGTAATTAATTTTTTTTATTAATCATCTTTTAATTTTAAAATGGCATTAATTAATATTTTGTCCAAATCATATTTAATAATTTATTACCAAGAGAGAAAAAGATAAAGTAAAATAATGAACGCTTGAAAGGAATAATACTTAAGATGAAAAATATTTAAAAAGAATGGCACTTACGATAAAAATATTTTCTGAAAAAGTAATAAATTTTATTAAATTTATTGATATGTTCAAACAACTTAAAAGGAATGACACTTAAGATTAAGAATATTTAAATTTAATGAAATATTTATATGTTCAAACAACTTAAAAGAAAATAAAAAATTACTTCTATTGTAACCAAATATATATTAAAAATAACTCATACAACAAATATATAAAGAATTGCAAGGCACGGAAAGGGTCAAAACAGCAAAATAAAAACAGACAGATTAACAATGGATTTTGTGATCTGTGAGAAACCATATTTCTGTTTTTTTCAAACAAGTTTTAGAAAAATAGAAATTTTTTGTTGGTTAACAATTGTATCAAGTTAGTTTAGGGTTTTTTCTTCAAGAAAATGAATAACTAATGAACATTATATATTCATTTATTTGAAAAGTTGTATTTCATTTTAGAATATTGTGGAAGAAGAGAAGAAGAAAATGATGAAAGGAAAAGAAGTGATACCCCTCCTCACCCCATACAACATGGGAAAATTCAATCTGTCCCACAGGTAAACAATTTATTTATCGTATAGTTTTCTTGATATAGTTTCAACCATTCTTAATTCATTTTTTATTATGTCTTATTAGGATAGTTTTGGCACCATTAACAAGAACACGATCCTACAACTTTGTGGCTCAACCACATGCTGCTCTCTATTACTCTCAAAGAACAACAAAGGGTGCCTTCTTGATTGGGGAAGCCTCAGGGATCTCAGACACTGCACAAGGGTTAGTTATATATATGATTCAACCCATACGTTATAGTTTATCTTAGCGCATTTTCAAAGACGGTAATGCCAAATGAGTAATCAATCATACATTTTCTTGATATTGAAGGTATCCAAATACACCTGGTATTTGGACAAAAGAGCAAGTAGAAGCATGGAAACCAATTGTTGAAGCTGTTCATAAAAAAGGAGGCATTTTCTTTTGTCAACTTTGGCATGCAGGAAGAGTATCCAACTATGGTATCTCAAAATTCACAAACTTCACAATTTTCACTTACATCTTTGCGAAATATGAATCAACTCCTTCCGAACCGATCAATTACTTTCTTTTGAACAGGTTACCAACCAGGTGGACAGCCTCCAATCTCGAGCACAGACAAAGCACTGCAAAAGGAAGGGAACAGCAGCTCTAAGTACCCGCCTCCTCGGCGTCTTGCAACCGATGAGATCTCGGATGTTGTCAATGACTTCAAAATGGCAGCCGAGAATGCCATAGAAGCCGGATTTGATGGAGTGGAGATACATGGAGCTAACGGATACTTGCTTGATCAATTCCTAAAAGACAAAGTAAACGATAGAGATGACGCGTACGGAGGAAGCTTAGAAAATCGTTGTCGTTTCCCGTTAGAGGTTGTTAAAGCGGTTGCTGATGAGATCGGAGCTGAAAAAGTCGGTGTTCGGCTCTCTCCTTTTGCTGATTACTGTGGTTGTGGAGACTCTAACCCTCAAGCTTTGGGAATTTACATGGCTCAATCATTGAGTCAATTAGGAATTCTTTATTGTCATGTGATTGAGCCTAGGATGCAAACCATGTTTGATAAAGATGAGACTGATGTTTCTTTGATGCCGATGCGAAAGGCTTTCAATGGAACGTTTATTGTTGCTGGTGGATATGACAGGAGTGATGGAAACAAAGTGTTGGAGAATGATGGTGCAGATTTGGTTGCTTATGGTCGACTGTTTTTGGCAAATCCAGATTTGCCTAGAAGATTTGAATTGGATGCTGAATTGAATAAGGCTGATAAGAGCACTTTTTACACCAGTGATCCTGTTGTTGGATATACAGATTATCCATTTCTTGAAATATGAGTTTTCACTCCAAACTTTTTATCTTGATGGGATGCATCAACTCAGCAATGTGGGTTGAGCTTTACTTTGTCAAATGTGGTTAATGAAAATTTGGCAATTTGGTTGCTTGAAGGAGTTAATAATAATAAGCATGAGAATGCTAACTAAAATATAGTTTACAATTAGTAGCACTTTACCTGTGTTGCATGTGAGTGACTTGCAAGTCAAGCTATCTATTACAAAAGATTGTTAATGCAATTAGTTAGTTTTTAACTGTATATTTGTCACTCTTGTAACTCATTATTTGCTAATGATTGCAAAACCACTCTCTTCCCTTAATTTAATACTTTGCATCCCTAATTTCATAACTCTCTTTTTTTATGCCCATTGGTTTGTCAACCAAGTAATATGTTGGAATCAAGAGCATCGGTTCTATCTAAGCTTTCATTAATGACAAATGGAAATACTACCTCTAGTCAATTTTCTCGCAAATCTACTCGGGTTTACAGGAATGTCATATTGAAATTTCAAGATGATCTTGAAATAATGAATGATGGTTTGCCGCATTGTAAGTCAATGTAATTGAGGAACATAATGTTGTTTATCCTTAATTGAACAAGAAAGATGGAAAATGTTTGTTATTGATTCATCAATGAGTATGAAGGGTGAATAGGATGTGAAATCAAGATTTTCAGATATCAACGTATGTTTTGATGAAGACAAATCACTTGACAAAAGAAGGCAAAGATGATCAACCATTTCAAGATATCAAAATCAGGACAAAGACACGACTTAAAGGATGTTTTTCTTAGAAGATATAATGAGAACTTTCATCAAGTGTTTAAGTCCTAATTGCTCAAATCATTAAAAAATCTTCTACATTACTTTTCACACTAACACAAACCTTTTAAAATAGAATTTTTCTAAGTTTTTGAAAGTGCAATCGATTGCACTCTTAGAGCAATCGATTGCATGATCAAAATTTTGACTCATTTTTGCTTTTGTTTCAGTAAGCAATCGATTGCTGCTTTTGTGCAATTGATTGCATGCTTAAAATTTTCTCTTTTTTCACTTCTGTTTTGAAGTGTAATCGATTGCTTGCTGAAAATTTGAATTTTCAAGTGTTTTTGTGAAGGTGCAATCGATTGGTCTCTTTGTGCAATCGATTGCTCACTGAATGTTTTTGAAAAATCATTCTGAAAAATTGCATCTCTTCAACCAATCTTCTGTGGAATGTTTCCTTTGAAACATGACAATTGTTCATCAATTTTTCTGGAGATTTGCATGTTTTTCTCAAGAGGTGTTTATGTAATATAAATACCTAATATTTCAAAACTCAAATAATCTTTTTCAATCTTTTCCAATCTCTTTCAACCTCTTTCAATCAAAAACTCTTTAACATACTTTTCATTTTCCACATCTAAATCAAAAATACTTTTTACAAAGAATTTTCGGCATAAATTTCATATCCTTTGAAAGAAAATTCTTGAGCAATAAGTCTTAGATACTTGTGGAAAATCTCATTGAAAGAGAAGATCAATCTCAGTATTGACAAAACAACTGTATACATTGTTATAAATCTTTACAAAAATCAGATTGTATTTATTTCTCCTTGTTGTTCAGGATTGTTGAAAGCAAGTGTATGCATTGAAGAGGATTGTTCTCATTGCACTTAGTGTTTAGATCTTAAAGGTGTTTAAGAGCCTTTGATCTCCCTATAGGTTAGAAAGAAAGTTGTACACTGATCCTAACTATAGTGAAATCTCTTTCGAGTCGAAAGGGAAGTGGAGTACTCTCGGAGTGTGAGGGGAACCACTATAAATTTCCTGTGTGTTTTTTACTTTCTGTCGTTACAACTTTCATAACATCACTTTATTACAAGAAAGTAACAAATCAGTCTCTAAAACCAGAAAATTTCAAAAGAACCTAATTCACCCCCCCCCCCCCCTCCCCGCCCTTCTTAGGTGCAACTCAGACTTTCAATTGGCATCGGAGCAGGTTTAGGTAACCTGTTCCTAATCGATCCAGTATGGCTTCCGCAAATAACAAAGGTGTATTCAAAGACGGTGGTTGTAGCAACAAGCCTCAACTGTTTTGTGGTGAATACTTTGATTTCTAGAAAATTCGTATGAAGGCTCACTTAGAAGCACAAGGAGATGAAATGTGGGATGCTGTCTAAAATGGTCCTTTCGTTCTTACAAAGGTCGTTAACAGTGTTGGATCAACAAATCCCAAAGCCTCGTGGGATGACGATGATAAGAAAAATGTTCTCTATGACAAAAAGGCAATCAATCTTCTACAAAGTGCATTAAGCATGGACAAATTCTTTCGCATCTCAACATGTACATCAGCAAAGGAAATCTAGGACACTTTAGTGGAAACACATGAGGGAACCATTAAAGTTAAAAGATCAAGGTTGAACACGTTGAGTCAAGAATACGAGTTATTCAGAATGCAGCCAGGAGAATCAATTCTTGATTTGCAGAAAAGATTCGTGCACTTGACAAATAATCTTATAGCACTCAGTAAGACATTAACTAATGATAAATTAAATCTTAAAGTGCTTAGATCTTTGTCCATTGAATGACAGCCCAAGGTGACAACAATTTCTGAAAAGAAAAGCCTATCCACGATGACATTCGCCACATTGTTCGAAAAATTTCAAGAATATGAAACAGAACTTGGGCGATTGGAGAAACATGAGAATCAAGAGAAGAAATATAAAAGCATCGCATTAAAGGCTGATTCCAAAGAAGTAGAAAAAGCAGACGACCCGGTTGAAGATGAAAACTTCATGCTTCTTGTAAAAAGGTTAGGAAAATATTTTGGCTCTAAAAATAATATTGGAAATTCTGACTATATGAAAAGAAAGAAGTTTTCAAAGAGAAAAGAGAAGGAGGCATCAACATCCACACAAGATGTCAAATGCTATGAATGTGGAAAACTAGGACACATCAAACCTGAAGGTGAGATAATACTTAGAAGGGGGGGTTGAATAAGTATGAAAGATTATCACACAATTATTTTTATCCTGGTTCGTTTAAACAACTACTCTAGTTCACCCTTTCTAGAGTGATTTGCCTTTCTCAACAAGGACTTAATCCAATATTAAATCAAACTGATTACAATAGTAACACCTAAGAACAACTGTTCTTAGTCTTCTCAAGAGCTACTGATTCCAACTGAATCCTCTTAAGGAAAAACCTTTACAATCAATGTAAATTAAATACAAGAGTATTAATGCTTCTATAAAGCTTTTATCACAACAGTGACTTTTCTCTTAAGTTTAAGTACAAAAGATTCTAAGAAGAATATGAAAGAATGAGAGCTTAGAATAATATGATTTCCTTTTCAGCAAATTGTGTAACTGAAGAATGTGGTGAAGTTCTCCTTTTATAGGCAGCTGATCCAAGGATGCTGAGCGTTGAAAAGAGAGTCCCAAAAAGGTCTGAGCCATTTTGTCTTCACATCAAGTGACCTTTCCTTAAAGTAGATAACACAGAAAAATCCTTTTTGTCTGTGTAATTGTGTCTAGCACAAATGAGGAAAGAAACGTTGATTAACTCCAACGGATATATTCTTGAATATTACTTCTTCAGTTTTCAGCAAGTTCTTCAGAGTCTGAATGGATCAGAGTCTTCTAATGATATTCAGAACTTTGCTGTATCAGAGTCTTCTGCAGCATGTGTGCTTTCAGCGTGTTGATCATCAGAGCATATTTGACACAGAACTTCAGTACTTGGCAGCGTTGGTACTTTCAGAAACTTCTGTAGAATTATGCTTTGAGAAACTCTTCAAACAATATTCTTCTTTGCTTCAGATGCTTCAGCTTCAGATGCTTCTGACTATCTTCAGATGCTTCTGACTCAGAATGTTCTGGAGCTTCTTGCTTCAGATCCTTCTGGAGACTACGCTCAGGATCTTCTGTAAAGAGCAATCAGATTCTTCTGTAAGATGCATCTGGCGCTTCAGAGTCAGGATAACTTCTTGTATTCAAAACAAATTTGCTTCTAGAGAGTTAATTTCATTTCAATCTGCAGTAAAACTCTCAAACAAATTTTAGAGTATATAATTCTTAAATATAAATTTCCTAACAGTTATCATCAAAACAAAGAGTTATTATTAAGAACCAATCTGTGTTCTAACAAAACCAAACTGTCCTAAACTTTCTAAGAACGATGCCTCTAAAAGCAAAAAGGGGTTCAAGAAAAATAAAGCATATGTAGCATGGGAGGATAAAGAGATAAACTCTTCATCAAAATTAGATAGTGATCAAAGCGAAAATCTAGCACTAATGGCCTCACATCACTCTGATGATGAAGACGATAAGGTTAGTAATAATTTCTTAATCTATGATGATGATGCTCAAGGGGCAATCGATGAACTCCTGAGTGAATGCTAAATTTTGTACAAAACTATTTCATCATAAAAAAATCAAATTTCAACTCTAGAAGAAAAGATTGAAATAATGCAAAATAATTTCAAAGATGAAAAACAGAAATTGATTAGTGATTAAAAACATAATTTTGTATGCACAAAGTGTGAGTCACTTTCCTTTCAAACTGTCCAATTAAAAAGAGTTCTTGAAAAGTATGAAAAAGGAAAAATTGGATTAGAGGCTGTTCTTAGCCAACAAAGATTCTCAAATGATAAAAGTGGACTTGGTTACTCAAAATTTTCTAAACCAAGTTCCAAGAAAACCATCTTTGTTAAAGCTAGTGAACAAACTCCAAAAGATAAAGTGGTCAAGCCTAAAGTGGTTCATCAATACCCCAAGAAGAAGGTTGTTAATAAGAAAAAACTTTATCCTTCTAGATACAAGAGTAATTTTGAGCCCACCTGTTTTTATTGTGGTATCAAAGGCCATACACCTAATGTCTGTTATGTTAGAAACTTTAGTGTTGCAAAGGGGAATTATGTGTGGGTCAAGAAAGACACTAATTATGAAGCACCCAAGGCAAATTGGGTACCTAATGAAACTTAATCTTGTTTTGTAGGTATGCTTGAAGACCTCCTCATAT